TCGCCCACCGCCCTGCTCTCCTGCAGCCGGAACCCCTTTACCTGCTCCGCGGGGTCGCCGTGTGCTCCCGTTCGAGCCAGGGCACGGCGCACGCGAGCCAGGCGACTGCCCAGTAGCAGCAGGAGGCCAAGCACACGCTCTAGGTCGGCCATGAACCGGCTGAACCGCTCTAGCTCGCGGGGTGCACAGGCCTGGCCTACCGCGGCTTCCAGCGCAGCCCCACGCCTGGCCCAGGTCTGGGCAGTCCCCTGCAGCTGCTCCTGCTCCGCTTGAAGGCTCCGCAGCATCTTTTGCAGGAGGTCCGCGAGCTCCACCTGCAGGGAAGGCGTGGCTACTGAAGGCTGCGGCCAGGCCCCGGACATCTCAGGCCAAACTCCGGTCTCTTGTCCCACCCAGCTTCCAGCCACCCCACCACACTCACTTTCTTAGCTTGGATGCTGCTTTTTGGCTCAGGCAGACCCTGGCCACATGGCTGGTCAGACACAGGGGGAGGGGTAAGGTTTTCAGGCCTTGCTTCCTCCTGAGAAGTTGGCAGGACCTGGGTGGAACTAGATAGATGGGACACGGGGATAAAGGGAGCTCCCTGGGTTGTCCTGCCCCAGACTGCAGGGGCTTAGAATCCCCGAGTCCCTGGTGCCCCTCACTCACCCTGGCTCAGAAATACCAGCAGCCTCCTCTCCAGCCTTGCCACCGGCTGGTCTCATTGCAGCCCAGACCTCAGCTAAAGGAATCAGCCCATCCAGCAGATCCAGAGGTGGCTCTGGGCTGGGATAGGATGTGAGAGTGTCACTCAGAGAGGGATCCAGTCTGGCAAGCTCCTGAGCCAGCTGCTCCAGGCGTGGACTTGGCCATGTCGGCTTAGAACCAGGCTGGACAGGGCCCCAAGCCCAGGCAGTGTCATCAGGAGGCCCTTGGGTGTCACTGCCCGGAGGTCCCAGGGCATCGACTGGGAGAGGTTTGAGGGAGTCACGCTCTACAGCTGCAGGGAAGTCCGTCGTCAGCAGTCCAGTGGAGTCGTGGGTTGGGACATCAACATTTGCAGTCCCGGGAGAACGACAGCATGTGGGCCAGCAGTCACCTGTCCCTGCAGTCTCTAGGCACTCATGGAGGGGGTGCTCTGGGCAAACTGTAGCCCTGCCAGGCCTTTGGCCCAAGCCAGCTCCATATTGTGGGTCAGAGGCATGGACACTGGCAATGGAAGAAACACTGAATCAGAAAAAGTTATGGCTGAAGACCAGTGGTGGTCTCCAAGGGCCACCTGCCACCACCCCATCACCCAGACTCCCAGGCTCCAGCTAGGGGCGGTTCCCGGCCCCTCCGGCCTTGTGTAGTTATGTATGCAAAGGGGATGTCTCACTCTGCTTAGAAGCGAGAGAGAATTAACCTGGCTGAGAGCCCTGGCGGGGCATGGGAGTCTGGAGGTGCTCTCATTCTGACCAGCGGGACTTCTTCCAGGAAGACATCATCATCAGGAAGGGAAGGGAGCCGGGCACACACAATGTGGGTCTCTGGGACTCTGAGCTCACAGTCAATGGGCCTGCTCTGGGGACCCTCTGCAGGACACACCACTGCAGCTTCCTTCCGAGTCAGGAACCTGAAGGCAGAGACCCCACAGTGACCAGGAAGGAAACTCTTGGTCTGCACCAGAGAGACAGTAAAGTGTTGGGAATGGGGATTGGCTGAGGGGGTGAGGGGGGGGTAGTTGGGGATTTGGTTTGCTAAATACAGAGCCCCCGAGGCTCAGACTGAGGGTAGGTGGGAGGCCTTCTCTTTTCTGGGGCAAGAGCTATGAGAGCTGCCTCCTCCCAAGAGTGATCCATGTCTCTCACCTGGAATGTGTGGTCTGAAACAAGGGTCTGGGTTCTGCTCCTTGAGGAACAGCCTGTAAAGGCAAACAGGTTAGATGTAATGTGGCTCAAGTTTTCGGTCTCCCAGCTGTGCCCCACCCCGAGCCCAGCCCGCAACCCTTCTCTTCCCTACCTGGACGATGGGCACGACTCCTCCTGGGCCTCCCCAGGCACCCAAAGCTTCCCCTGACGCGCTCTGACTCCGAGCAGGCCTGTAGACGTCGTCGTGGAGCTTCAAGGACAGGGGTTCGCGGTCCTCTGTGCCTCTCAGCCATCTGATCTGGTGACCTTCGAACTCGGCCACCGCCTGATGCTGCAATTCCTGGGTCTCGGGCCTGGCGAAGCCAAAGCCGGAGCAGGCCCCACCCGAGCATTCCCCCGCCATCCCAACGCCCCGACCCAGGCCATCCAGCTTCCCTGGCTCCGAGAAGCACCACTGCTGCTGCTGGTTGGCGAGGCGGCC